AATTGCAACGTTTTTTAATGCGAGTGTATATACATATATATATATGAATGTGTTTTTATATATAGTTAGATAGATGGATAGATGGGTGAGTAGTTAGATAGATACATATTTGGTACATATGATATACATTTACATTATGGGTCATTATTCTATCGTTCCATTTTACCAGGTACATTAAGGCAACGGTAAACGCAAAACATACGACGGTATTACACTGCAGGTACAATGGGGTAAAAATTCGAATGGAAAGAGGAGAGACTTGTGAGAAAAGTCGTGCATGATGGGTATATCATTTTGCGCAAAATATTTTTTTGACTAATCTGAGATAATTCGCTTTAACATTTCGCGACCGCGATTGGGAGGTTGAAAACTTTACTTGCCTAGCGGATCAATCGAGAACGAAATTTCTTGGCTTGTGAGTGACATCAGTGTACTTTAAAACTCTCTCATGATCAGGGATTCTTCAAGGAAGCAAAAAATTGTTCGAGAACCAACCTTTCCAGGGTAGATACCAGAAAGGCCACCTAGTTCCTGTTAAAATCTTGCGTTACAGCCTTGAAAGTGTCCTTGCCACATTCATCTACACCAACTGCGTGCCGCAAATTGCAAGTTTCAACGGAGGTCAGTGGAAAAGGTATGAACAGAGAATAGAGAAATACGCCCGGAAAACTTGTTCTCCGAACGGTGGAACCCTTTTCCTAATCACTGGTACATCGAAGGTTAAGTTTTTCCGGAAACGTGATCGTCAAGGTAAAATAAAAGCACTTAAAGAGATGAAACCTCTGCAGTGGTTCCATAACAAGGTGGATGTAAACAAGAATCTCGGACCAAAGATCGCAATTCCAAACTCAATGTGGACGGTGGGCTGTTGTTTGAACTTAAAAAAGAATAAAGTCGTGGGAGCGTTTGGTGTAATGGGTGATAATTCTTTAGACCAACAGCTCTTAAATGAATTTATGATGTCCGAACAAAACGTCGCATATGTTGAAAGCGCCCTTCAATTAGAGGATCCAAATATTAAGTTGTTTCCTAACGGCGACGATTGCCATGAGCCAAAAAAAAAAAATTTGATTGATTGAGGTATGATTTTATTGTGTCCCTTGAAAGGAGTATAGGTAAATTCCCTGACAGGAATCTGTAGGGTATCTTGCATGAAATAACTAGATTCAGATCAATGCTCAATTTTTATCAAATCTCAATTAATACGTGTGCTATGATCGGTCAATTAAGCGGGCCATACCTCACTGTACGCCTCGCTAAATTCAAAACTTTGTTTAAGTTAAAATCTTCTTCATCTATTTGAACCCGAAAATTTATCAAATATCTTAGTAACTCGTTTTTTTCGGGCTGTACTGTTAGTTACGAACTCGGTTATAACTGAAGAGGTGTTTAGAGCTTGTATTTCTATCCTCTAAGTTCAAAATATGCATGCTACTTTATCTGTTAAACAATCTATATTGTAACGAAGAAGTGGAATCCACGAGTCAGTTAACTGGGATCTAAGAAATTAAACGAAATTTGAGGTTGTCTCAAACATTTTGTCAAAGATTTGATATCTAACTGTACATCCTGGTCTTTTCTTGTTCACTGGATTTTTTTTAGTAATTTCCCAACCCAGTTAAGAGGCTTCGTTCAAATTCGCAGGGAACCAATCCATGTAACTTTTTAGATTTAACCTCTCAATCATTTCTCCATTCGAGTGAGACAGATCCCTTAGATTATTTTTCTCGAGAGTGAGGGTCGTGACAAAATCACATGATCTAACTCACAGCAATCTCCAAATGAGTGCCTGAGCTTAATTACACGTGATGGATTTATTTTGCTTCATTGCACTCCGCGATTGGTTTATAAACTTGTGCGATCGTATACTACGAGCAGCTGCAGGCGAGCGGGCCCTCGATCATTATTGGCCCTGCGGCACGTGCGTTTCTCCGCCCACAAGAAGATTTGTGACGAGCCTGGGGAAATGTTTGCAGGGAGGGTGTGGCACTTATAATGAGCCTAGACCCCTTGCCTCGCCGGTTTTGTTTTGTTTTGTTTTTTCTCACGGCCTGATACTTACTTTGTCGTGGGTAATAAACGCCCGTACAGAAGTACTGATATTGACGGCCTACTCGCATGCAGTTGCCAATCAATCGACCAATCAGATCAGAGAAAGTACTCAACTCCAATCGCGACTTGATTATCCATGTTTTCAAGTCTCTAATCGTGCCGTTTATTTTCAGCTCTCATAAACCTTTTATAGTTACTTTGTTCCATTTGAGGAATTATTTTACTCTTGGTCTTACGTCACTTGATCAAAAAACGCTCAAATATCGATTGTGTGATTCCAATTGCTGACAAAACATCGTAATGAAATAGAGTACGAAAACTTCACTGATCACGGTCAAAATTAAATCTTTAGTAGGTGGACATCTGGGAATCATTTCACAGAGTATTCTCACCGAAGGAGGGCTAATTCTATTGTGAATTGAATTATTTAATGGTTAAGATCAAACAAGGATGGTGGCGTGGACCGAGTGTGAGCTTGGAACTTGGAACTTGGAACACTAATGATAATAATAATGATAATAATATAGATTTAATCATCGTAACTTCTGATGATAACTCTTTAGTAAAGTTTTGGAGAATGTCTGTGAAAGAGCTTCTACTTTCACATCTTTTTGCTCATAGTTATCCAAATAAAGGAATATTTTCAGGCTTTTGATCTTATTTCCTCCAAAAAATTTCCTCAACGAAACTCAAGTCAGCGCCGTGACTGGGGATGACATATGTGATAACTTCACATTCCAATTTACTCACCACAATAACGATAGCAATGGCCGCGGTGTGCAGACGCAAGAGAAACTTCATAATGAAGGTAGACTGGAAGCATTTAGAGAGAATGTCCACTAAGACCGAGCGAAAATGAAAATTCGTGGCACATCTCGAAAAATCAAGATTTTTCATATTTTCTCTGAAGATACCCTATAGTGGCTTAAGAAACGTGATAGGATTTTTTTCTAGTAATATCCTTTAAAACCTCCATAAAATGAAATAAAAAAACCGTCACGAGCCAAAATGTCCTGAAAGGCATCCGAAAAATACGCGATTGGTACCTTCCCATAAAATTCGCCCTTTTGCATTCGCATCATAGAAAGAACCGTTTCGTGCTTTCAACATTGCTATTGAAGTCTTTACAACTTGACCTAAATCTTACTCCACTTGAAATTGATATTCTTGTGAGAATAAATGCTGGTCTAAAATGGGGTGGAAAAATTAGTTTCGGGCTTTTTACCAGCGCCGAGTAGGAAGCCTCTTAAAATAGCTGTTATCACAACAAAAGCGTGTCAACCGGAAGTCAACAAATAGCACATTCTCCACACCCGTAAG